TTTGCTCAGAATACAGGCTGAATAAGTATAATGCAAGGATCTAAACCAGATGCAAACCTTTCCTGACTTTAAACCATACAGCATCTCCTCACTCTGTTCAGAAGACTGCCTCTTAAGCACGCGTGCTAATTTGGGTAGACTAGAGAAACTAACCCATATGTATACAAGAATGAGCTTTATGTACAAGAGCAATTGAATATTGAGAAAACATCCCAGCTCAGTCCAGATTAAGTCCAAAAGTCCGATATTAACCCATATGTCCGATAACAATCTATAAAGTCCTCTTCAGACTTGCGAGACACAGACAATGATGCTGAATGCAGGACAATCACAGGTCAGTGGGTAGATAGTCTTGTGGATCCAGTGGTGTAAGCATCTCAGTGCTGGCAGGGGTCTCCACGTGGCTTCTCCTGCTCTAAGGCTCTGGCTGCCAGCAGCCTGTCTCCATGTGGCTTGTCAACAAGAATGTCTCACAGGGACTGAGCGAGTGTCCCACCTCCAGAGAGCTATTTATCTCCTAGAACCTCCAAATAAAGTCATCAAACTGTGCCCTGATTGACAGGTAAACTCCACCCCTTCACTCCTAAGTCTCAAATTGACAACAGATTATGTAACTACCACAGCACTGTACAGGATCCGAATGAGCACAATTAAGTATTCTGGAATTTTCATTTTTCATAACGTTATCCACAGTATGTTATGATCCATACAGGCTAATGCCTTTTAAAATTAATAAAACACGAGGCAGCATCTCTATGGTATTCTCTTGTTTGAGCCAAGATCCATCTGACATCAGCATGATATCTCATCTTCCATGTTTTCCTTTGAATACGGCTTCAATTTCTGTTGGTTCCCTGTTGATACATTTCACAAAATTGTACCTACGTATGATATGAATGATATTGTTTGATAACTTATGCATTCTGTTGGGTCTCTTTTCTTTGTGATGGACACAGATATACATCTCTTCCAGTTGGTAGGCAGATTAACTATCTTCGAAATTTCTCAGCGTAAACTAGTGAGTGTTTCCAGTGCTGCAACAGTTTTGGGGAGCATTTCAATGACTGATACTGAATGATACTGGCTTTCTATGTCTGCAAAGATTGAAAATCCTTGGAAGTAACCGATGCCCTTTTCAAAGTTCATTAGATAACACTCATAGTAGCAAATTTTCTATGAATAAAGTAGAATATATGCTTTGGTACACATAATTTTAGCAATATCTCTTACTGGGGCAAATTTGAAATTTCATTTTTCTTCTGATTTCCAGAAGTCTATTTTTAAATCATGATTTCATTTCTAAACCTAAGATCATACTATGCTTTGCTATGTAAAATTCATTGTTCTCTGAGCTATAAAATAATCTTTCCTTAAAATTTACTTAGATCCTGGAGGATGATGTCCCTCCATGGAGCTGCTAAGGCAAAGAGAGGGCTGTAGGACTGCCAAAAACTCAAGGCCTGCTGACCCCTAACTGGAGCACACTGTGACAGAGGACAATAATGGGGACACACGGTGAGGAGATAATGTGGCCTGAATCCCCTGCAGTGGGACAAACCAAGAAGGGAGCATAACAGATCAGCAATTGGAGC